CTTGGGCAAGCCATAGTTCTGACAAGAGCTGTCCTTGAAAGGGCAGTTCTGGAAAGAGCTCTCAGCCCCCCCTCATCACAGGGTGTCTGTTGTGGGGAGGGGAAGGGAACAGAGTTTGTAAGCCGCTCTGAGTGAAGGGTAGGATATAAATCCAATCTCTTCTTCTTCTTTATGCCAGATCAAGTTGTTGCTGAAGGCACCGGAGCACACTAAGCTGGTCTTTTTCCTAGTCAGTGACTCTGGGGAGAGGTGACTAGAAGACTTCCTTCTATTTTGCCCTAAGTTTGGGACTGCCATTATAACTTCTGTCCATACCGTTCGTTAAACCTCTCTGCCTGACCTTGCTGTCTCCCTCCCTTTTCAATCATCGTTATTTGTTTGTGTTCAGGTTTCGAATGGGGCGTCCACAATCCTGTGGCCAATAACCTGGCCCCTTTAAGGCAAAGAACGGTTACACTAAGAACTACCGGCTGAAACTGGAACTTGCGAAGAGCCAGTTCGGTCCGACCCTTGACATCAGTGAAGATGGCCACAGGTCCCAGGAACGTGGTTCTCTGGGGTGCCCAAATGGAGCCAAGAATGAAGAGGGAGACGCAGGACTTAGAGTGTGGGAAGGATGCAGGAAAAGGCCCCCGTGTTGTTCACCCTGGGAGTATGGAGGAATCCTGGGACAGGGCCACCCCCGAGTACGTCAAGCAGGAACCAGAGGCAGGGCCGCATGAGCACTGGGAAGCCCAGTGGCAGCAATTCCTGAAAACGGTTCAGACCCCTCAGTCCGGACAGGGGGCTGCTCAGCTGCCGTGCCTCGCGCCAAGGGATGATTCTCCAGGCGAGGAAGTTTCTGATACTGGGGTGCCACTTTCTGGTGAGAAGGAGACACGGCTGTCGTCCAGTATTGGTGGGGAAACCCAACATCTTGTCGACAACCTCTTGGTCAAAGAGCAAGTAGACAGCCAGAAAGTGAAGGAAGAGACGCTGGCAGAGGGCGACGCCAGCTGGGATGTGGAGCGACGCTGCTTCCGCCAGTTCTGCTACCAGGAGGCCGAGGGGCCCCGGGAGGTTTGCGGAATGCTGCGGGAGCTCTGCTGTCAGTGGCTGCGGCCTGAAGGGAAGACAAAAGAGCAGATCCTGGAACTGGTGGTTCTGGAGCAGTTCCTGAGCGTCCTGCCCCCGGAGATGCAGAGCTGGGTCCGGGAAGGTCGGCCCGAGACTTGTTTTCAGGCGGTGACCCTGGCCGAAGATCTCCTGCTGAGGCAACGAAACCACGAGAGGCAGGAACAAGCGGTGAGCAATTAAAGGTTGTAGTGAGGCCTACAGGCTTTGAAAGGGGATTAGACAGATTCATGGAGGAGAAGTCTATCAGTGACTTCTAGCCATGGTAACTGAGGGGAACCTCCACATTCAGAGGCACTGAGCCTCTGAATCCCAGAGCCAAGGAGGCAACCTCAGGGGAAGGCCTTGGCCTCTATGCCCTGTTGCTGGCCATCCAGAGGAACTGGTTGGCCACTCTGTGAGACAGGATGCTGGACTAGGTGGAACCCCTGGTCTGATCCAGTGGGGCTCTTCTTCTGTTCTTATGTGAGAGGGTTTCAGTCACAACTTGGAACTTGACAAACGGCCTTAACAATTCTACAAGTTTGTCAGGGCAGCAGTGAAGGTCATGGAAGAAGCATCTATTGATAGCTATTGGCCATGGTAGCTCAGTGGATCTTCCATGTTCAAAGGCAGCTTACCTCAGAATACCAGATGCTGGAAGGGAGGTGGCATCAGGGGAGGGATGTTGCTTTTAAGTCCTACTTATGGGCTCTCTGGAGGCTGCTGTGAGCAACAGGATTCCGGACTAGATGGAGCTTCAGTCTGATCCAGTCGGGCTCTCCTGATGTCCTTACAAAGCCTTAAAATAAACCCAGGGTGCATGTTTCTACAAGCAGCCTTGAAAATTAAGAATGGAACCTCCATGTTCAGAGGCAGACTATCTCTAAATACTTATTTGATGTTTGGCAGGGGAGGGCTTTTGCTTTCTGCCCTGCTGGGTGGTTTCCTGGAACCATCTAGTGGCCGACATTGGGAAATGAGATGCTAGACTGGGCCTGACCAGGAAAGCTCTTCTGATGTTTTTACAGATACTTTGACTAAAAGGCTATCACAATCAATGTTCCCTCTAAGCTGTGGAGTCCTGTGAGCAAAAAATCTACTGTGTGAGCTACGTGCATTAAAGTTGTGAGTGAGCAATTTAGCTGCTGCATAAATTAGTTTGCTCCGGAGCCTTCCTTCCTGAGCCAAGACAAAAATGCATGATCCGGAGGCTAAAAAACTGTGAGCTAGCTCACACTAACTCAGCTTAGTGGGAATACTGATCACAATGGAGACAGACTGTATCAAGCCTAAGCTGTTTCAGGCAGGAATCCCCAACCTTTTGGGGGGCGGGTGCACGCACGTGCATGTGCCTAAAAGTCATGGCTAACTTCTGGCAACCCCTAGTGGGGCTTGGATGCAAGGGATGTTCGGGAAGGTGGCTTGCCGTTGCCTGCCCCTGCATCACCACCCTGGCATTCCTTGAAGGCCTCCCATCCAAGTCCTGGCCAGGGTCGGCCCTGCTTAGCGTCCGAGATCTGACGAGTTCGGGCTTGCCTGGGGCTACCCAGGTCAGGGCCCCAAGCTTTTTTGAGTTTGTGGGCACCCTTGGAATTTTAAGAGGGGGGTATAAGCAGCACCCCAAAATTGCTGCCGCAGGAGGTAGAGCCAAATGCAATACCTCCCTCCTCCCTTTGCAAAAGAATTGCAGAAGGGGAATAAAAAGAATGAAGAACTAAGCTCGAAGGTGAAAGAGAAGGGGGAGTTTTAAAAAACTAAAGCTTGAACAGGGAATGCCCAAAGATAGCTCGAGTGCTTACCAGTCCTCCTGATCATCCAATAGCTATTGTCGCCATGGAAAAACCATTTCTTTGAATGCCAGCTGCCAATGACGAGCCCTGCCTCCCAGTAGCCCCACCTACTTTCTGAAAAGCTTGACAGGCCTCAGGGTGCCACGTTGGGGGACTGGCGGGTGCCATGTTGGGGAACCCTGGGGATTTGGTTATCACCCGCGTCTTGAATTGTTCTTGGAAAATACCAAAGAACCAACTGTTGTGGTCCATCACATTCGGTAACTCCTGAAGCTTCCAACCCATTTCTAAGGCTCCGGGTTAAGAATTTAGGGTGTGCTGCTGTCACAGCCTGAATCCTGGCCGTTATTTCTTCCCCAAGTCCTGTTTCTTTCACGCGGAATGCTTTCCCCACTGCTGTTCCAGGTGTCATGGCAGCTGAAGGAGGAAGGGGCCGATTTCCCAGAGGCAGAGGGGGCTCCCTCGGAGTCCTGCGAGTGGCCGCCCTTCCGAGAGATCAAGCAGGAGGACGATGGGGTCACCACCATGCTGGGTAAGGCTTTTTTTTTTTGGGCTAGGTGCTCTGAATTCCTGAAGCCGAACTGCATAAATGCCACTGATGCAAAAATTAAACGTCCGTTTTAAAGGCCACAAATGCTTTCGCACGTGCCAAATAATGCGCTTTCTATCCATTTTCAGTGCCTTTCGCAAATGGATTTTACTGTGTGAAATGGCAAAATCCGCTCGGAAAGGATCACTAAAGTGCATTGAAAGGGGATTGAAAGTGCATTATACGGCATGTGTGAAAGCCCCCCATGTTTCTATTGAGTGCTGCTTGTATGGATGAGGCAAGGTTTTCTCCTGAATGGAGCCAATTCATATCAGAAACTGGGTTTTCAACTTTAACCACCCTGATCATAAAATAAATTGATTTATTAAATCCTTCAAAGAGCTCAGGGTCTCATAAATGATTGACTCCTCCATTTCATCCACACAACACCCCTCTGAGACAGTTTAGCCTGAGAAGATGTGACTGGCCCAAGGCTATCCAGTGAGCTTCCATAGTAGGTATATGAAAAAAAAATCCGTGAAAATAACTAGACCATGAATCTATAACTAGAAATTTATTACATAAATATATTAATTCAAATCACTTAAAGAAAACTCTCAAGTGCACCCACCAAAGTCACCTAAGTGCTAACTGAAGAACTATATATCTAATATTCTAGAAACTCTCATCAAGTCACTGAACAATATATATTATGACCATTTAGTCATTATATAATGAAACAAAATGGTCCCAGTACATAGAGTAACAAACTTGCACTGTTTTTTTAAAGACGTAGTCCGATCAGGGCTCATTAAATGGTGAATACTCAGCTTCACAGTTCAGTTTTCAGTGCTCCATAGAGTGTTTGTTCAGACCTCCGCTTGTATAGCCTTCAGCTTGCAGCTTTAGCCTTCAGTCTATAGCTTTTAAGTTTCACCTGCTTTGAGTGTCAGATTAGCCTTACAAACTTGCCGGCTTCCATACTCGTTTCACATTCGCTTCCTCAGAGAGAGAATACATTCCAACAAAAAATACAACTTTACAAAGATTGGCAAAACATCACTTTCAGCATAGCTCCGGGACCCAACTCAGTTGACTTTGGTGGGTGTACTTGAGAGTTTTCTTTAAGTGATTTGAATTAATAATATATTTATATAATACATTTCTAGTTATATGTTCATGGTTTAGTTATGTTCATGGGATTTTTTTTCATATACCTACTCTTATATCTGTGTTTCTCTTTTGCTTTTTGTGTTTCAGTGAGCTTCCATGGCAGGGTGGGGATTTGAACCTGGGTCTCCAATACCACACTGTCTTTCTATGGTAAAGCCACTCGTTCTCTCCTTATTCCCACAGGTGATGAGAGGGCATTTTGGAAGGAGAGTAATCAGCCAGAAACTTCTGGAGAGCTTGAGCTTCACTGGATGCTGCCAGGCCAAGCGGGACAGAACTTTCCCCATTATTCTGACCTGGGAGAAGCTTCTGAGGACCAACAAGAGACTCTCTCTGACAAAGGCAAGTCCATTTATTTCCAGCAAAGTTTTGAACAGCTCCACGAAATTCCTGCAGTCCAGCAACGAATCCTCAAGGGTGAGACCTGCACAGAGTGTGGGAAGTCTTTCCGATGCAAGGCAGAATTGACCGAACATCAGCGCATGCATTCGGGAGAGAAACCCTACACATGCTTGGAGTGTGGGAAAAGCTTCTGCCGAAGAAATGTTCTCGTCGCTCATCAGAGGATCCACACGGGGGAGAAACCTTTCAACTGCCTGGACTGTGGGAAAAGCTTCAATCAGCGATCACATCTAACGGCACACGAGCGGACCCACACTCAAGAGAAACCATTCGCCTGTCCCGACTGCGGGCAGAGTTTTAGCAGGAGGACTGGACTCGTGGCTCATCAGCGAATTCACACAGGGGAAAAGCCCTACAGCTGCCTCGACTGTGGGAAAAGCTTTCGTCAGAGGTTCGACCTGATCCGGCATCAGAGGATCCACACAGGCGAGAAACCACACGAATGCCCCGACTGCTCGAAAAGCTTCCGGAACAAGTCAGCTTTCCTCGTCCACCGGAGGATCCACACAGAGGAGAAGCCGTACCCATGCTCGGGTTGCGGGAAGAGCTTCCGGCATCGCACCAACCTCCTTGCGCACGAAAGAATCCACACAGGGGAGAAGCCGTACAAGTGTACTGAATGCGAGAAGAGGTTTGGAGACGGGTCTTCCTTGATGAAGCACAAGCGAGCTCACACGGGAGAGAAACCATACAAATGTTTGGAGTGTGGGAAAAGCTTTTCTCAAAATGCCGGCCTGCTCCAGCATGAGAAGATTCACACTGGAGAGAAACCCTTTGAATGCTCCGACTGCCCGAAAAGCTTCCGGGATAGATCGGCATTCATCGTTCACCAGCGGACCCACACGCATGAAAAACCGTACCATTGCTCGGGTTGCGACAAGAGCTTCAGCCATCGTTCCAACCTTCTGAAACATGAGCGGATCCACACGGGGGAGAAGCCGTACAAGTGTTTGGAATGTGGGAAGAGCTTCACCCAGAAACCAAACCTCCTTGTGCATGAGAGAACGCATTCAAAAGAGAAAGTGTCAAATTGATCTCAGGGTCTGGGGTGGGGGGTGGGGAGGAAACAGTGACTTTGTACTTATAAAATCCCTCAAGGTAAGTAAACATACGGAGCTGTCGTGTCTAGAGCATTTCTGGAGAAGACTGACACTACAGTTATGAAACGTTTTAGGTGGGAAAAGTGGTGTGTGATTTTGTGTGTGTGCGTCATTGTGGAAGACCGAATGGGGGGCGGGGGGCAATGGGGGAGTGTATGCCTTTTTTGAAAAGGGTACGCGGCTATTAAAAATCATTTCACCAGCTGCTTCTGTGCTTTTTTCATTACCTAATTATAAGGCTTAGAATTGGTATCATGCTTTCAAGTGTACAAAGGAACAAACTTATATTATCTTACTGTACTCCTAACAAGCAACCTTGGAAGGTACACAAGAGCGTAAGCTAAGAGAAGCCATGTCATAAGAACATAAGAGATACCAATGTTGGATCAGGCCAAAGGTCCATCCCGTCCAACACTCTGTATCACGCATTGGCCAGAAGTACCAGCTGCCATCAGGAGGTCCAGCAGGGGGGCCAGGACATTAGAAGCCCTCCCACTGTTGACCCCCCCCCAAGCACCAAGAAGACAGAGCATCACTTGCCCCAGAGCCCCTCTCTATACCTTGTGGCTAATAGCCACTGATGGACCTCTGCTCCATATGCTTATCTAATTCCCTTTTGAAGCCGTCCATGCTTGTAGCCGGATCAGGCCAGTGGCCCATCCAGTCCAACACGCATCTGTGCCACACAGAAGCCAAGACCCAGGGGCCATCAGGATGTCCACCAGTGGGGCCAGAACTCCAGAAGCCCTCCCCCTGTGGCCCCCCCAAGCATCAAGCACCAAGAATACCGAGCATCACTGCCCTAGACATTAAGGTAGGTCATTATCAACCCCGTAGAGATCAGAGCCCTGCGGGACCTCCAGCAACTCCACAGGGCTGTGAAAACAGAGCTTTTTGGCCGGGCGTTTCAGTAGAAAAGACCCTATATCGGCTGTGCTGCACTTTATTATACGACACCACCAAGTTTAAATGGTTTTAACTGTATTTATTTAATTGGAAACGAGCTGAGCTATTTTATTGAGTTGTATTTTATGTATGTATTTATGCTGGTTTTATAATTGTTGTAAGCCGCCCTGAGCCGCTTCGGCGGGAGGGCGGTATAGAAATCTAACGAATAAATAAAAATAAATAAATAGTGCAGATGCGGGGGTTGACTGAGGCTGCCAAAGAGAACGGCATGCCAAAAGCCATCTAGTAAACTGTAAAAAGGTTTCCCTTGCTCGAAAGCCAGTCGAGTCTGACTCTAGGGTTGCGGTGCTCATCTCCGTTTCCAAGCCGAAGAGCCAGCGCTGTCCGAAGACGTTTCCGTGTTCATGTGGCCGGCATGACTAAACACCAAGGCGCACAGAAGGCTGTTACCTTCCCACCGAAGTGGCCCCTATTTATCTACTTGCAGTTTCTTGCTTTCAAACTGCTAGGTTGGCAGGAGCTGGAACTAGAGATGGGAGCTCACTCCGTCATGCGGCACACTCGGGTCTCAAACTGCTGAACTACTGACCTTCCGCTACAGCCTGCAGTTCAACGTCTTAACCACTTGAGCCACCGCAGCTCCTAAAAAAAATTGACTTGTTTATTTATGTTGCATGGTAGGCTTTGCCTTGGTCTCTTCTAATGCATCTTTACTTGTGCATGGGTAAATCTTGTTAATTGTGGCTAGGAATGCACAAACAAGATTACGAAGATCCAGTTGCTGATAGATCAAGATGAGTCCCTGCGTTTGTCTGTAGCAGTAGAAAAGAGCAAGAGTCCAGTAGCACCTTAAAGACCAACAAAATTTGTGACAGGGTGGGAGGTTTTTGTGAGTCATAAGAACATAAGAACGAGAAGCCAATGCTGGATCAGGCCAACGGCCCATCCAGTCCAACACTCTGTCACATAGTAGCCAAAAATACCAGGTGCCCCATCAGGAGGTCCAGCAGTGGGGCCAGGACATTAGAAGCCACTGCTCACTTCTTCAGGTACAGCTAGAATGAGGCTTCCCAACTTCCAGGTGAGGCCCAAACACATCCCAGAACTACAACTGTGGCCATAAGACTGCCAACCTCCTGGTGAGGACAGGACTGGAGATCTACAGTTCCAACTGACTTCCAGACTACAGAGATCAGTTTCCCTGGAGAAAATGGCTGCTTTGGAGGGTGGGCCTTTAGCTTGCCTTGCCAACCTGGGGGCACGGCCTGTACTTGTCCGAGAAGTACCACTTCTCTCCAGAGATCAGTTCCCCTGGAAGAAATGGCCACTCCAGAGGGTGGATTGTATGGAAACACACAAACCCCGCCTTGTGTAGGGGCTTGCACTAGATGACCCTGGAGGTCCCTTCCAACTCTGATTCTATGAATGCTACCTTCCCCAGGCAACCCCCTCCAAAACTCCAGGGATTTCCTAGACTGGAGCTGGCAACCCTAAAACAAGGCAGCTTCAGGATAAGAAAGAGCAAAATCATAGTCTGAGGGGGTGCAATTTCACGTGTCCTTAATTCCTTTTCTGGAAGGCAATGCATGGGAAGTTCCTACATGCTAAACAAGTGGGCTACCGACTTCTCAGGCGAGCCTCCCCCCACAACCAATCCCCTCTCCGGCAGCCTGGGAATTGTAGTTTTGGAGAATACGTAGTCTAGTAAAGCTTTGAAAATGCCCTTGCTGGGCGATCCTTTGTGCGAAAGTCTCCCCGTCTCTCTCGCTCCCCCCCCCCACCGCCACTTGCATTCTCCCAGGAACCCTAGAAATGTACTCTAATGTTTTCTAATGGAGCCCATGCAAGTCAATTGGCATTCCTGGCTCCCTTTATTTCCAATGGGTCTTCCAGCGTCTCCCATTGTTTCCAATGGGCAATCCTGTCCTTCCTTTTAGTACATCCCCTGTAGAACAAATAGAACAAAGCTTGAGTTCAGTGGCACCGTAGTGGGTCTTCAAGGTGCCACTGAACTCAAGCTTCGTTCCGCTGCTTCAGACCAGCCCGGCTGCCCGCACCTGGGTCTGGGAACTGTCGTTCTTAAGGGAGCTTTCCCATGGAAAAATCTCTCCCAGGGATTCCTGCCTCGCAGAGTGAAGCGCCCCCTCTTTCTGCCGCCTTTGTTTCTCCCGGCGGCTGGACCAGGTAGCAAGGACCAGGCAGGCGGCACCCCCGATCGCTGGAATTTCTCTCCAAGTGGCAGGGAGGGGGGAGGGCATTCCAAAAGACCGAGTGAGCCATCGTGGAATCAAGCCGAGTTGAGCAAGTCGATTCCTGGAAAGACTTGAAGATGAAGAGGGGGCGAGGGCGGCCAGTCTTACAACGCTCCCTCTAAGCTGTGGAGTCTTGCGAGCAAAATTTCTACTTTGTGAGCTACTGGCAGTAAAGTTGTGAGCGAGCGATTCGGCTACTGCATTAATTAGTTTGCTCTGGAGCCCTCCTTCCTGAGCCGAGACAAAAATGTGTGAGCCGGAGGCTAAAAAACGGTGAGCTAGCTCACACTCACTCAGTTTAGGGGGAACAATGCAGTGCCTGCCAGACCCCAGGCGCTCCTCCTCCTCCTCCACCAAATCATCCCCTCTTACCCGCAAAGGGGCCGGAAATAAACGCGACATGCCAACCTCACCCAGAACCAGAAGTGATGCGAGCACGTCGGGGTGGGGGTGGGGCGCTTTGGCTTTTGGGCAAAACTCTACGATTTGACGCCAATCGTAGCATAGAGTTCTGCCCCCAAACCAGGGCGTCCCTCCCGACGCCCTCACGTCACTTCCGGGTGCTCCTCCCCGATCCCATTCCCGCTCTGCCCCCCCTCCCCTCTCTCCACCCAGGAAAAGTCAGTCTAAGGAGGGGAAACAAAGTAGGAGGTTTAAATGTCAAAAAACTGGAAGGGATCTTTTTGGCAGGGGCTCCGGTGACTTAAAAGGGACCGGAGGTGGTTTGGAAACGCCTGGAGATTTGGGGGTTGAGCCTGAGGAGGGCGGGGTCTAGGGAGGGGAGAGGCTAGAGTGATGCATGATGCCTTCCAGTCCCCCTTAGTTTTTCTTTTTTCCTTATTTTGTATTTCTTGTATCTGCTACGCGTGTGCATGTGTAGGGGTGTGTGTATGTGTGTGTGCATGCGTGCCTGGAAGTCATCATACTTGAAGACAAGGAACGGTCAGAGAGGTGGCTTGCTGTTACCTGCCTCTGCGTCACGGCCCTGGCATTCCTTGGAGGTCGCCCTTCCAGGTACTTGCTAGGGCCAGCCCTGCTCAGGTCTGACCAGATGGGGCTTGCCTGGGCTATCTAGGTCAGGGCAGAGTGCGCCTTTCAAAAGTGGCCATTTTCTCCAGGCGAACAGTCTCTGATGCCTGCCGATCAGTTGTAATAGTGGGGGGATCTCCAGCTACGACCTGAAGGTCGGCAAACCTATTTCGAGAGTCAGGGACTGCAGTGCAAAAGAGACCCCAGACAGACCCCTGATATAGCTTGGCTGGAAAGAGCTGCTATGACTTATTTTCACCACTGTATTCTCATGAAGATAGGCTCAGGTGGGGTCGCCATGTTGGTCTGAAGCAATAGGACAAAGGGTGAGTCCAGTGGCACCTTTGAGACCAACAAAATTTTATTTTTGATAGAAGCTTTCCTGTGCACACACGCTTCTTCAAACACCTGAAGAAGTATCTTATCTAGTGTGCACGCAAATGAAAGCTTATAGCCAAAATTAAACTTTGTTGGTCTTAAAGGTGCCGCTGGACTCACACTTTGTTGTATTCTTATGGGTTTTGTTGCGGTGAAGCCTTTGACTCCTATTGGCTGAACTGAGGTGATGGGCGTGGAATGTTCGCCATTCTAATGTTCCAACTGTTTTGGGGGACGGCAAAGCCGTAGGGATGTTTGTAGTCCAATTCTCTGACAGAAGGGGAAGTTGTATATTTGGCTGGGGTTAAAACTGTTCATGTGGGCTTTAACTGTTGCAGATAGGCTGAGGACTAAAACAGTGTCCCAAGAAACAGAAGACCTAAGTCCCCCACTATACATGATGATAAAGCCAGTAACATTTGTTATTCTGTCATGAAGCAGGTTCCTGGGAGAAGCAGTATGATTTTTTGTAAATAAATAGTCAAAATTCAGTCCCCAGTGCTTCCAGTGAAGCACCTTCTGTGCTGGAGAGCCAGTGTCAGTACTGAGCTCAATAGACCGATGGTCTGACTCACTCTAAGGCAATTTCAGACTATCCTGCCTGATTCAGAATTTTTCTTCCTCAGGCTGACTTGTCACCACCCTCCTTTCCAGAATAAAAATTTGCACTCTGGATGCCCAATCTTTTGCAGCGGGAGTTGGTGGGAATCCATCCAATAAAGGCCAACTCTGGCCTGAGAAGAAAAATTGTGGTACAGCAGATGGATGCATCCGATTTTGGCCTCCGCTTCGTGTCTGCACTGGATCCAGGAGTGAAGATGGAGGAATGGGACCTAACAGGCCCAGAACCGGGAAAGGATGCAGACAAAGGCCCTCACGTCACTCAGGCTGGGAGTATGAAGGGATTCATGGAAGGGGTTGCACCCGATCGTATGAAACAGGAATTGGAAACCGGGCTCCATGAGCGATGGGAAGCCCAATGGCAACAGTTTCTGAAAACAGTTCAGTCGCCATGGTCTGGACAGGGAGACACAAAGCCACCGGGCCTTGTGCCGAGGGATGATTCTCCACAGGAGGGCATCTCCAGTCTAAGGCCACAGCCTCCCAAACAGAGGGTGACCCAGCTCCTTGGCAGAAAGGCCCAGCTCAGTGGTAGAAACTTGTCAGCCAGAACCGATACAGATGATAAAAGTGTGAAGGAAGAAAACCTGGATGTGGAGGCCACCCGCCAGCACTTCCGGCAGTTCGGCTACAGAGAGGCCTATGGGCCCCGAGAGGTTTGCAGCCGTCTCCAGGAGCTTTGCTATTCTTGGCTGAGGCCCGAGAGACGGACCAAGGAGCAGATCCTGGAGCTGCTGATCCTGGAGCAGTTCCTGACTGTCCTGCCCACGGGAATCCAGAACTGGGTCAAGGAGGGGAGTCCGACGTCTTGTGCACAGGCAGTGGCCCTGGCAGAAGATTTTCTGCGGCAGCGGAGACAGGGGAACTGGAGAGAGCAGGTGAGAACTTTTCATGCCCTCCCTGGGGGGGCTCAGCAATATAGTTCGGGGTATGAACTCTGGGTGGCTCAAGTGGTTAAGATGCTGAACTGCAGGCTGTGGAAGGTCGGTAGTCCAGCAGTTCGAGACCCGGGTGCCGCATGACGGGGTGAGCTCCCATCTCTAGTTCCAGCTCCTGCCGACCTAGCAGTTCGAAAGCAAGACATTGCAAGTATTATTATAATTACATTCCATTTGTATACCGCTCACCTCCTGAGAGCTCTGAGTGGTTTACATTTACATTATACAACACATCCTGCCTAGGGCTACACATACAATGAAGGGGTGTGTGACTGGCCTAGTAGATAAATAGGTACCACTTCGGTGGGAAGGTAACAGCGTTCCGTGCGCCTTGGTGTTTAGTCGTGCCGGCCACATGACCACGGAAACGTCTTCGGACAGCGCTGGCTCTTCGGCTTGGAAACGGAGATGAGCACCGCAATCCTAGAGTCGGATTCGACTGGCTTTCAAGCAAGGGAACCTTTACCTTTATGAACTCTGGGACTGCAGCCCAATTAAAGGAACCTAGATTGATTGGTTCTGTGAGTTTCAATTCATTTATGGAGCATTTCGTAATTTAACGCCATGTTTAGGTGCATCGATTAGGAAGTGGCAACTTTTAGTCAGTCCAAATGCAGTGCTCGAATTATCCACCTAACTTTTCCGACAGCAGTTCCACTACTTTTTTGAGGTTACGTAAGAACATAGAAAGAGCCCTGCTGGACCAGACCAGTGGTGCATCTAGTCCAGCATCCTGTCTCACACAGTGGCCAAACAGTTCCTGCGGAAGGCCAACAACAGAGTGCAGAGGCTGAGGCCTTCCCTTCATGTTGCCTCCTGGCACTGGGATTCAGCAGTTTATTGCCTTGGAATGTGAATGTCCCCCTCCGTCACCATGGCTAGTAGCTGCTGATGGATAAACACATGGAGCAGAGATCCATCAGTGGCTATGAGTCTCAAGGTATAGAGCAGTGGTGGCGAACCTATGGCACGGGTGCCAGAGGTGGCACTCAGAGCCCTCTCTGTGGGCACGCATGCCATTGCCCCAGCCAGGCCCAGACCACTATTAAAGTGTCGAATTCTCTGCCAAATAATTTTAAGTAAATGAAAGCATTTGGGATTGCTTTCCGTACTTTGTTTGGATCATCTTAAGTTAATGTATGAGTTGTTTTTTCTAAAGTAAAACCTCAGTATTCAGGTTAGATTGCCGTGTTGGCACTTTGCAATAAATAAGTGGGGTTTGGGTCGCAGTTTGGGCACTTGGTCTCTAAAAGGTTCGCCATCACTGGTATAGAGGGAACACTCTGTCTGGGGCAGTGATGCTCTGTATTCTTGGTGTTTGGGGGGCAACAGTGGGAGGGCTTCTGGGGTTCTTCTGGCCCCACTGCTGGACCTCCTGATGGCACCTGGCTTTTGGCCACTGTGTGACACAGACTGTGGGACTGGGTGGGCCACTGACCTGGTCCAACATTGGCTTCACGTATGTTCTTATGACGTCTCCGCCAGATTGGTTACACAGGTGGCACAAGATGCCTAGCTTTTTTCAAGTGCATGGAGTGGGAGGGCGTGTGGATTTGTTTAAGGACCACACACGGCATTGGAGCACTGTCAGAATGTATTTAATCCATCTGTCTTGTTCCTGAAGATTTTCAAAATGGGGAGAGTCACACAATTGCTTTTGCAGATCCCTGAGGGTCAAGCTCCCATTGACTGAACAGGACCAGGAGCCAGAAGCTCTTTTTGTGAATGGAATTGTTGCTGCTTTTTTCAGGTGCTGTGGATATCGGAGGAAGTGGCGTCTACTCCTCCAGAGCCCGAGAGGACGGCGTCTGATGCCTGGCAGACGTTGGTCTTCAGAGAGGTCAAAGAAGAGGATGAGGAAGATGCGAGCTCTGTAGGTAAAGAAAGCCTTGCGTTGCACTTGTTAGGATTTGTAGAAACAAATCTCTCTTTCCTTTGGTATGGCTTTTTAATTAGCAATAATCAGGGCTATTTTGGGGCAGGTACGCACAGGAACGGAGTTCCGGCTGGCTCCCAAGTTAGCCACGCCCAGCAGGAACTCATTAGCATAATAGGCCACACCCAACAGCAGGAACTCATTTGGATTGGCTACATTAGGGGTGTGGCCTAACATGCAAAGGAGTTCCTGCTACAAAAAAGGGCCCTGGGTTTTGACAACAAACAAGGTAAACAGAATAAGAAGCAAAAGGTGGGTGTGGCTGGATGACCACACTTCTGGTAACGTGGGTGCGGCTTAATATGCTAATGAGTGGCGTAGTCAGGGGTGTGGCCTAATATGCTAATGGGTTTCTGCTGGTGGGTGTGGCCTATTATGCTAATGAGTTCCTGCTGGACTTTTTCTACAAAAAAAGCCCTGGCAATAATACTCATGTGAATATAAGGAATTGCCTTATACCTAGTCAAGCTATGTACCTGGAGATTTTGGGGATGGAGCCTGAGGAGGTTGAGGTTTGGGGAGGAGAGGGTGAAGTCTGGGAGAGGAGGGATCTTAGCAGGGTATAAAGCCCACCTTCCAAAGCAGCCATTTTCTCCAAGGGAACTGGTCAATTGTAATAGCAGGGGATCTCCAGGTGCCGCCTGGAGGGTGGCAACCACACTGCCATGGGAAGTAGATGCAACCACAAAATGGGTGCCACAAGAGGTGGAGCCACACCTACACACAGAGGAATCCCAAATACAGGAGACAAGAGGAGTAATTTTTTAAAAATACCCTAGGAAAGAGGAGTGAGGGTGAATAAAACCAATACTGTGGTGGTGGCGGCTGTCAAAACAATATTATTCTAATCTACACAACCAATCAGATTGGAAGCCCTGTTGGGCAGGAGCCCAGCCCAGTTTCTAAAACTACTTGGTGGGTTCCAGGATAAGTGCTGGCAGGCACCATGGAGAGCCAGTTTGATGTAGTGGTTAGGAGCGCGGAATCTATAATCTGGGAGAATCAGGTTTGATTCCCCACTCCTCCACATGCAGCTGCTGGTGTGACCTTGGGTCAGTCACAGGTTCTTTCAGAGCTGTTCTCTCAGGAGCAGTTTCTGTCAGAGCTCTCTCAGCCCCACCTACCTCACAGGGTGTCTGTTGTGGGGAGGGGAAGGGAAAGGAGATTGTAAGATGCTCTGCGACTCCTTCGGGTAGTGAAGGGCGGGGTACAAATCCAATCTCCTCCTCCTCTCCTCCTCCTCCTCCTCCTCCTGTCCTACACCTTGTTTATCCAAGATAACATAGTTGAATATCTTTTACACTCTTCCAACTCAATGCAATTAATGTTCCTGCAGTAAGAAAGAATCTTGGGCCGTACATCTATGAACATTAGGAGTATATCCTCATAAAAAGCCCAGCAAAAAAAATATCTTGGGGCTTGTAGCATTTCACATCCTGTTATTTGAGTAATTTCATTGAGTGTCTTTCCCCCAAATATTGTTTGACTGGTAGGCATTCCCGAAACACCAGGCCTTAATTTCTAGCTCTGATCTAAAGTTTCTTTTTCACCCTCTCCCAGGAAATCACTCATTTTAGGATTCTCTTCTTCAAGCAGGTGATGTGAGTTCTTGCGAGAAGGAGAAAAACCAGTCAGAAAACTGTGAGGGACTCCGGCCCTGTGGGATGCTGCTACCAGGAAAAGAGGATCTGAACCCTTCCCAGGGTTCCGAGAGCTGGCAGGTAAAGTCCCTAGATAAGGACAGAGAAGCCCCCGTTGGCTATCCCCGAGTCTATGAGCACCTCCACCAGAGACCAGTGGAGCAAACAGCCTTCAAGAGTGGGAAAGAAAAGGTCTGCCTTGAATGCGGGAAATCTTTTCGGTGGCAAGCAGAGCTGATTGCACATGAAAGGACACACACAGGCGAGAAGCCGTACGAGTGCTTAGACTGTGGCCGGAGCTTCAGTTACAAATCTCGCTTGATCGCGCATAAGAAAATGCACACGGGGGAGAAGCCGTACAAATGCCCAGATTGTGGGAAAAGCTTCAGCCGGCAGCCCCACCTGATTGCACACGAGCGGGTCCACACAGGGGAAAAGCCCTATGTGTGCACAGACTGCGGCAGGAGCTTCAGCGACAGGTCGAATTTAAACACTCACAAAAGGACCCACACAGGGGAGAAGCCGTATCGGTGCTCGCATTGCGGGAAAAGCTTCAGCCAGAGCTCGACTTGCATGAAACACGAGCGGATCCACACGGGAGAGAAGCCGTACAAATGCACCAGCTGTGGAAAGAGCTTTTGCCAGCGATCACAGCTGATCAACCATGAGAGAATCCACACTGGTGAGAAGCCGTACAAATGCTCTGTGTGCGGGAAACCGTTCAGCCGGAGGACAGACCTGGTGACTCATCAGAGGCGACACACAGGGGAGAAGCCATATAAATGCCTGGAGTGCGGATGGAGCTTCAGTGCGGGATCCAGCCTGAAAGAACATAAGTGGACCCATACAGGGGAGAGAGCACATAAATGTACCTACTGTGGGAAAAGTTTCACCCAGATGACCGAGCGCATGAAGCACGAAAGAACCCATGTGCAAGAATAACTGCGGAATGGGGCAGAACACATTTTCTATTCGGGATTGCAATTATTTAAAAAAATTGAAAACATAAAAAAAAGAATGGAGTAAAGAACGTCGTCTCAGCCTAAGTGTTCTGCACTCAGATGTTTCAGGGCAAATTAAATTCTCTCTCAAGATAAGCTGACATGGGTCTGTGGCTCAGGGACAGTGCATGCTATGTTGGTAGTTAGCTTTTTAAGCTAAAGAGTTTTATGGGTGCAGGTTTTGGTAAAGACCATCTCTGCCTGAGACCCTGGAAAGCAACTCCTGGTGGTGGTGGAAAGTGCCATCGAGTCTCAGCTGAATTATGGTGGTGACCAATGTTCCCTCTAAGCTATGGAGTCTTGTGAGCAAAAATTCTACTTTGTGAGCTGCCGGCATTAAAGTTGTGAGCCAGCGATTTGGCTACTGCATAAGTTAGTTTGCTCCGGAGCCATCCTTCCTGAGCGAAAACAAAAATGTGTGAGCTGGAGGCTAAAAAACTGAGCTAGCTCACACTAACTCAGCTTAGAGGGAACACTGGTGGTGACCCCGTAGAGTTTTCAAGGCAAGAGACATTCGGAGGTGGTTTGCCATGGCCTGCCTCTGCGTCATGACCCTGGTATTCCTTGGTGGTCCTCCCATCCAAGTACCAAACCGGGCCGACCCTGCTTTGCTTCTGATATAAGAACTTAAGAACATAAGAGACGCCAATGTTGGATCAGGCCCATCTAGCCCAACACTCTGTGTCACACAGTGGCCAGAAATACCAGGTGCCCCATCAGGAGGTCCATCAGATGAGACCAGGCTAGCCTGAGCCGTCCAAGTTTTCTGCCTAAGACCCTAGAAAGCAACCACTAGTGAGAATAATATGGAGCAAAATGGACAAAGGGGCTAATATAGTATGCTGATGTGAGTAGACAACACAGTCCTTAATAGACCAAGGATCTCATTCAGTGTAAGATAAATTCATATGAAGATAAGTTGAACCGGGAGAGGAGGATTATGGGAGGCTGGATGGCAGATTTCCTTTTGCGTAATGTATAGTTAAATGCAGCCTGTTGCTCACCAGTGCTCTCTTATTTATAAATGCTAAACACGAAAAAAATGATATATGGGAAAAAATAAAAGATAAACTCGTTCTGTGTGTTTGTTGATGTGAGATCCAAATTAATTCAAATGCATTGTGACTTCTGTTCTTTTAGTTTTTACCAGGAAACCATGCGGAAAACTTTCAGAGAGTTAATTATCTTTTATGGACAATAGAAATAATTATCTTTATTAGGCAAAAAAAAAGGTAAATACAAACATGAACATTAACTCTGCAGCTGCCCAAGCAAGTGCCAATAAAATCAAATCTCCTAACATTTTCCAACCATATCTGAATAAGTAAAATTTTAAGACAGATAAACTGCCTTTAGTGATTTTATGTAAACCTGAGTCATCCACACAAACAGAAATCTCACCTAATGTCTTCTGAGACTTACATCCAGAGAAATCTCACCTGCCTATAACATCAATGTGATTATATAGACAAACAGCAATCTTATCTTATGCTAGATCTTTCCGTCTTAAACATGTGCTTGTGGGGCATGCCTACACGTATATGTTTCTCCACTGTGGCTATTGTTTCTCCATGACTTGTAGCTGATTCATCTGTTAGGAGTTTATATATGAATAACGGGCAGTACGTAACGCCATTTTGACTTTAAAGCCCCTACCCGGACACTCCACAGGAAAGGCCTGTCCTTGTGGGAGGGAAGGGGGGAGAGGGAGGGAAGCTGCAGCCGCTGCAGCCCTTGCCCTGGAGCCTTTGATTGGATTAGCAGGCGGGCCCCTCCAGGCCCACTCTCTAAAAAGTCCTTAGCTACGGGGCTGCGCCAGACTCTCTTAATCACTCAGCCATTTCATGTTTTAACCTGTGTCCTAGACTCAGAACTCTGAGCATGAGATTTCTGTGGTGAATGTCAATAAATCAAAAGTAGGTTTGCACCTTACAGAGCTAATGTTTTAAGCATGTTTTTATTTTAAGTAAAAAAAACCCCTCTTTGTGTTTGTGTCAGAACATCATCAGAACATCAGAGACGCCAATGTTGGATCAGGCCAAAGGCCCATCCAGTCCAACACTCTGTGTCACACAGTGGCCAGAAATACCAGTGCCATCAGGAGGTCCAGCAGTGGGGCCAGGACATTAGAAGCCCTCCCACTGTTGACCCCCCCCCAAGCACCAAGAAGACAGAGCATCACTTGCCCCAGAGCCCCTAGCTATACCTTGTGGCTAATAGCCACTGATGGACCTCTGCTCCATATGCTTATCTAATTCCCTTTTGAAGCCGTCCATGCTTGTAGCTCCCACCACTTCCTGTGGCAGTGAATTCCATGCGTTAATCACTCTTTGGGTGAAGAAGTACTTCCTTTTATCCGTTCTAACCCGACCGCTCTGCAGTTTCATGGAGTGCCCACGAGTTCTTGTATTGTGAGAAAGGGAGAAAAGTACCTCTTTCTTTACCTGCTCTTTCCCATGCATAATCTTATAAACCTCGATCATGTCACCCCTCAGTCGTCTTTTCTCCAAGCTAAAGAGCCCTAAGCGCTTTAACCTTTCCTCATAGGGAAAGTGTTCCAACCCTTTTATCATTCGAGTTGCCCTTTTCTGCACTTTTTCCAAAGCTATAATATCCTTTTTAAGGTGTGGTGCCCAGAACTGCACACAGTATTCCAAATGAGGTCTCACCATTGATTTATATAGGGGCATTATTATATTGGCTGATCTGTTTTCAATACCCTTCCTAATAATCCCCAGCATAGCATTGGCCTTCTTTATTGCAGTCACACACTGTCTCGACATTTTCAGTGAGTTATCCACTACAACTCCAAGATCTCTCTCTTGCTCAGTCTCTGCCAGTTCAGACCCCATCAATGTGTATTTATATTTAGGATTTTTGGCTCCAATGTGCATCACCTTGCACTTGGCCACATTGAACCCCATTTGCCATGTTGACGCCCACTCGCCCATCCTTGACAGATCCCCTTGGAGTGCCTCACAATCCTCACTGGTTTTCACCACCCTGAACAACTTTGTATCATCCGCAAATTTAGCCACTTCACTGCTTACTCCCATCTCCAAATCATTAATGAACAAGTTAAAAAGCAGTGGACCAAGTACTGATCCCTGCGGTACCCCACTGCTTACCACCCTCCACTGAGAAAATTGCCCACCTACACTCACTCTCTGTTTTCTATGAACTAGCCAGTTTTTGATCCATAAAAGGACTTGTCCTTCTATCCCATGATTTTTGAGCTTACTTAGGAGCCTTTGATGAGGAACTTTATCAAAAGCTTTCTGGAAGTCAAGGTAAATAATATCTATTGGATCCCCCTTGTCCACATGTTTGTTCACCCCCTCAAAGAACACTAACAGGTTAGTGAGACAAGATCTTCCCTTACAGAAACCGTGCTGAGTCTGCCTCAATAGGTTTTGTTCATCTATGTGCCTACTAATTCTTTCCTTAATAATGGTTTCCACCAATTTACCCGGTATCGACGTCAGACTGACTGGCCTGTAATTTCCCGGATCTCCTCTGGAACCCTTTTTAAAGATGGGAGTGACATTAGCTACCTTCCAATCCTCAGGAATGGAGGCAGATTTTAAGGAAAGATTACATATCTTTGTCAGGAGATCTACAAGTTCACATTTGAGTTCTTTCAGAACTCTCGGATGTATGCCATCTGGGCCTGGTGATTTTTCAGTTTTTAAGTTGTCTATCAGTTTTAGGACCTCCTCTCTCATCACCTCAATCTGACTCAGGTCTTCCAACACCCCTCCTGAAATCAGTGGTTCTGGAGTGGGCAAGCACTTCTCATCTTCCACAGTGAAGACGGAGGCAAAAAATGCATTTAGCTTCTCAGCCATTTCCCTATCATCCTTCAATACTCCTTTTACCCCTTGGTCGTCCAAGGGCCCCACTGCCTCCCTGGCTGGTTTCCTGTTTCTAATGTATTTGAAGAAAGTTTTATTGTTGGTTTTTACGTTTTTTGCTATATGCTCCTCATATTCCCTTTTTGCCTGCCTGACCTCAGACTTGCATTTTATTTGCCATAGCCTGTGTTCCGTTTTATCAGCCTCACTGTGACTAGCTTTCCACTGCTTAAAGGAATTCTTTTTACTTTTTACAGCCTCCATTACTCTGTTTGTTAACCATGCAGGCTTTTTCCTATACCTGTTTGTGCCTTTCCTAACCTGCGGAATATATATTTTTTGAGCTTCTAGGATCGTAGTTTTAAATAGATCCCAAGCTTCCCCAATTGTTTTGACCCTTTCTACTTTTCCTTTCAGTTTCCTCCCCACGTGTCCCCTCATATCAGAGAAATTACCCCTTTTAAAGTTAAAAATGGTTGTGTGAGTCTTTTTGGCCAATTCTCTATTTGTACAAATGATGAACTCAACAACATTATGATCACTGTTTCCAAGCGGTGCAATCACTTTTACATCTCTCACCAGGTCTTGAGTGTTACTTAGGACCAAATCAAGGATCGCCTCTCCCCTGGTAGGTTCCGTGACCATCTGCTCCATAGCACAGTCATTTAGAGTGTCTAGAAACTCAATCTCTTTTTCCCGACTAGAACACATATTGACCCAATCAATGTGTGGGTAGTTAAAATCACCTATTATTACACAGTGTTTTTGTCTAGTTGCTATCTTTAAGGCATTCATCATTTTATAATCCTCCTCTATCTTTTGATCTGGTGGGCGATAACAAACTCCCAGTGTTAAGTTTCCTTTTGGCCCCCCTATTTCAACCCATAGAACTTCCAGAAGCGAATCCAATTCACTTAGCCTCTCAATCTTTCTAGACTTTATACCCTCTCTGACATACAGAGCTACCCCACCTCCAACCCTTCCCCCCCTATCCTTCCGATATAATATATAACCGGGAATCACTGTGTCCCACTGATTTTCCTCATCCCACCAAGTTTCAGAAATACCCACAATG